CTTCCAACAAGGCTGCAAGCAACCACTAATTAGTGTTGGAAGTTACTGGAAGAGAAAAGATGAAGATTGTAGAGCAAGATAACTATTGACAGACAACTTAAAAGATTGCAAATTATATGAATCAGGAAAGCAAGATGAAGGAAGCAAATTCCAAAGAACTGATGTTTGAGGAAAAAAACTAGACGAATAAGAGTTTTTGGAGCACTTAGGAACAGTAACAGAAAAAGGATGAGACGTAATTGAATGACGAGTAACACGAGAACGAATTTTTGTAGATGGCACAAGAGACGCTAGCTCTTTAGAGCAGTGCTCATTATAGTATTTGTAGAAAAGAGAAAGAGAAGCAACATTACGACGATGTGACAGAGGTTGAAGGTTAGCTGCAAGAGTAGGTCCAACTATGTTTACAATGCGTTTTTGCACCTTGTCTAAAAGAGAAAGTGCATCATTAGAAGATCCACCCTAGATATGGCAACAGTATTCCATACAAGGCCGGATTTGAGATTTATAGAGATAGAGAGAGAATAGAATCCAGAGTAAGAAAGTGTCGAGCTCAATAAAGAGAAGCGACTTTAGCAGATGCTAATTTTGCAACGGATTTGATATAAGGTTTCCAAGTAAGATCAGAAGTAAGAGTTAATCCTAGAAAGTGAAGGGTAGGAGACTCATCGAGTACATTACCGTTCATAAATATAGGAAGGTCTAAATTATTGCGATAACGATTGGCTGAAAAAAAATGAGTTTTATCTGAATTAAAGTTCACCAGCCACTGTGAGCCCCATGCTGTAGCAGAAGTGAGATCCTTTTTAAGCTCAGATGCCCCCTGCAAGCAATCAGAGAGAGTTGGCTTCTTATCGTGACAAGAATAAATGGTAGTATCATTTAAGATTTAATGTCATTTTTTTCTGTAAAGAAATTTCTGACTTGTAGTTTTTTCTTTACAAAAGAAATATCTTCTGAATAATACATTTATCATTGATCAAAGGTATCATCGACCAGTAAATTTTTTTGAAAGAAAGTTTCATTGATCGAAGAAAGTTTCATTGATCAAAGAAAGTTTCATTGATCGAAAAAAGTTTCATTGATTGACGAAAGTATCATTGATTGAAGAAAGTATCATTGATCGAAGAAAGTTTCATTGATAGAAGAAAGTATCATTGATCGAAGACAGTTTCATTGATCAAAGAACGTATCATTGATACATTTATTGCTGATCAATGATATTGTTGACGAAAAACATTTTTGCAAAAGTTATACTTTACATTTTGGATTTTCTCTAGTGAGTATAAAAAAAAAAGAACTTTTCTAAAATCATTGTTTATAACTTATTAGCTAAAAAAAAAAAAAAAAAAGATTGAATTTCCATATAATACTATTGTTAATAATTTTTTATCCATATCTAAATAAATCTTTTTTAGCAAGTTAGATCAAATTAGCAAGGTAGATCAAACATAATTGTTAATAATAATGTAAATGAATTACTTTGATAGAAGAAAAAAAAACATCAATTAAGATGAAGAATTTATATGACTTACATTGTTGTGTAAAATTGAAAATAAAATTACATTGTAAAAGTCATTTGTATAAAAATCATAAAAAATGTATAACACTTTTCAGCAAACAACTGTTAATAAGATAACAAAAACAAACATTTTTTGTTATCTCAATAATATATAAATAATAACTGGCAAAGATACATTTAATAACAGCATGTTATGAAGACTTAAAAAACTTAAAAGCAAATATTGCTATTGCTAAATCCAGGGGTGTGGAGTTGCAAAAAAAAAGTAACAACTCCGACTCCAGTAGTTGAAATTTTTTGAGTACAACTCCGACTCCGACTCTAATTCCAACTCCAAATTTAAAGCAAAATTTTTGAAAAACTATTTGAATTTTTTTTTAAATATTACGCATTAAGTTAAAAAAAAATTGAGATTTGAGATTTAACATAAAAATAAGGTTAATTAAATGTTTTGTACATGCACGTGCAATATCGAGAAGTTTTACTATAGGAGTTGGAGTCGCAATTTTATTTAGCGACTCCGACTCCGCTGAAAATGTCACAGCTCTGCAACTCTGACTCCACAGTCTTGGCTAAATCTATCTGGTTGATTATTAGATTTTTTGAAAAAAATATATATATTATATGACTTTATATTATAAAAATAATGTTGATGATATAATAACAACTCAGGCTTTGAAAAAACCCAACCCAAATGGGTTTTTTTGGGTTTTATGAGTTTTTTGGGTTTTTTTAAAAATCAATCAAAATACCAAATTTTCATAATTGTATGTGTACAATAATTTTTTTTAAATTTAAAAATTTCACCTCCCTATTGCTCCAGTGACCACTTTAGTCAAGGAATCAACTCATTTTTAAAAAATGTTTTGTCTCAATCCTTAACATTACCATTTTTACTAACAAACAACATTAACAATTAATATTTTTAAACAAAGGCGCTGTGCGGAGAAATAGATTGAGCACAGTAACTTTAACAGATGTAATTTGAACCCCAACCTTCTGATTGCGAGTCAAATGTTTTACCACTTGTCTACTAGCACATTATATCTATATTGCTAAAAGGGACTCCATCAACTATAAATGATGTTAATTAATTGCACTAAATTAAAAACATGTTCAGATTATTTTTGACCAAAAAAAAATCACAATAACAATTATTATGACAATAGTCATAACTAGTTTTTTATACTAGCATGCTCAACATTTCAAAATTTACAACATGTAATCAACAAGTTTGCAACATGATATTGCAACGTTGTAAATAATTGTCAATCAGGATGACTATAAACACTTTTTAAACATTTTTGCATCATAGAAGAAAACTGTTAGCCTAATCACTACATTTATTTTAACAGAACATTATACTGTCCAGCTTCCTGCTAAAGTTATCGTCCTGATCAACATTATGCAGTAATTATCTTAATTATCATACTTTATAAAATCATATTAGTATTTTTAAAATGGTAAGATTAGCTTCCATCGGTAAACCAAGTTTTTGGGCATCCATCATCAATCAATAATCTTCATAAGAATGATCAGAAACAGGAAGTTCAGCTTATCTAACAAGAATATTTAGAACTTAAATAATGTAACCAATATTTCAAATATTTCTTTATATAAAATTACATAAAATAATTTAGCAATTATATCCAAATGCTTAAGAGAGTAATGATTAGACAATTCGGGATGACACTTCATAATGTTTTTATTTTTTAGATAATGGGGAGATTTGTTTTACAAATGGATTTGTGCCTAAGCTTTGATTGTTCTTGAAATATCTAAAATGAATTTGTTAAAAACCATTACAGTTTCTTAACCACCAGATTCTTTTTTTTTACTTAAAGATGTTTTACCAGCTCAGTTTTGCAACTGAATCAAAGTAACACAATATATAGCTCTATTGCGTGTGTTTCTTCACCTTTTAGAAAACTTGCTACTGATTTTCATTTTTAACCTGCTGTTCGTAGTAAACCTTGTTGACGGTACATGTTGTAAACTAGTAGCATGTAAAATATTTTGAGGCAAGGAACCCAATAAAACAACTTAAAAAATTTTAAACAAAAAATTTAACTCCTGAAAATTTAACTCTTATTACAATTTTACTGGGACAAGTTTAATTACAAAAATGTCAATGTAGCTCAATTTTTTTTTTAAATGTCGTCTTAAATAGTTTAGTTAGAGTTGTTACAAAGGAATGGAGAGTGGTCTTTTCTTAAACAGAAAAAAAAAAAGGTAAAATTTACTTTAACTTGTTACTTATAAAACAGCAATTATGAATAAAGAAAGTAAAAGAAAAGTGGTATTCTTAGGTGCTTAATACACGGAAGCTAATGTTTATTAATTTTTCAAAAATTTTGCTATCCCCCTGAGCTTATCAAGACACCCTCTCCCTGTTTATTAAATTTTACTTGTTTTCTCATAACTAAAAAAAATTTTCAGTCATTGTTTTTAATTTTTTAAACCAGTTTGGGTCTTAAAAATTAAGAAATTTAAACTGCCTTTAAAATTAGTAAATATAAAATAACCTATAGAAACAAAAATAAAAATTCCTATCTACCAACCAAGACCTTTTTTCCCTACCTCACTCTATTTATTACATCTGGAAAAAAAATTAACTTGTCTATTGATCAAAAAGGTTTGTACTGAACTATGACAGAAAATGTATGTTTTATAAATGAGAGCAAATGTTTTATAATCATTTCTTCTCTTTTAGTTACAACTTACAAAATTAGAAACATCACCTTCTAAAATAGCAATAATATTTGCAACTATTGCAGTATGTTGCCTAATAGGAAGTCCCTAGCAAGAAATGTTTTCTTTAAAATATTTTTTGAGTAAAAAAAAAAGAAGAAGATGGTTCATATCTGCTCATTTTCAGAATGTAATAATCATTCTGACTTTAAATAATCATTCTGACCATAAAATTTTTGGCTCAGTTTTATAAACTATTAAATGCCAAACTAAATAAAATAAAAAATGCTCCATTATATAAAACCTGTTGTAGAATGTAAATAATGAAAAACAGAAAGTGATGGTAACAAATTTAATAATGATATTTTTTACCAATAATTGTCTCAACCAATTGTTGGCCATTAAATTAAAAAAATATCAAAATTATTTTCATTAAAATTAATTTAGTAAGCCAAAACAATTTTAGTATAGTAATAAAAATAAAACTTTTATATTAAATAAAAAAGTCAGATTATGATTTCAAGTTTTTTCTTAAACTGTAAAATTTATTTTCTAATGATGTATATTTGACTATGTTTTTTATTTTTAGAGAAGACCACAATCTAATTCATTATGATAACTGTAACTGGAATTTTTGTCTATATGTAATAAATGGGGGGATATGGGAAAGGAAGGGGGTCTTAATAAACAGGTGGGCGGGAATTTATATTTATTTCTATAGGTGAGTTTATATTTTATAATTTTTAAGACTTGAACTGGTTTTAAAAATCAGAATATAATAACTAGATTTTTTTTTAGTTACAATTTTCTTTGTTTATAACACGAATAACCTAATAAACGGAGATGGGGGCGGGTCTTGATAAGCTCAGGATTGGTGAGGAAAATTTTGGGAAAAATAATAAACATTAACTTCCAAGAATTAAACATTTAAGAGTATTATCTTTTTTTTTCCTTTTATTTCTCCTGCTTTTGTAAGTAACAAATTTAGGTAAATTTGACCTTTTTTTTTCCTGATGTATAACAAATTAAAATATAAAAAATTTAGGAGTTGTTTCCTATGATTTTTTATAACTTCTGTAAAACAAATTTAAATATATGTGTTGCTTACAACAAGTAAAATTATATAACAAAATCGTGCAATGATAAAAAAAAGATTAAGCAGTAATAAGCTCTCAGAAAAATTAGTAGAGTAGAAAAAGATTTGTTGACAGAATTTTAAGTTTATATGTGACTTAATATTAAGTATATGAAAAGTTTTTTCTTATAGTTCTTAGGTAAATTTGACCTTTTCTTTTTCTTATGTATAACAAATTAAAATATTAAAAAATTTAAAAAAAAACATACAAAAACTGCTAGACTTATGCTGGTTATTCTCACACCACTTTCATAAGGTTCTGCAAAACCATGTTGCTTTATAAAATAGTCCATGAACTCAGTTAAAGAAAACCGACTATTGGAATTGTTTGATTCTAATACACCTTTATTTCCTTTTTTCTTCTCATTGTGATAGCGTTCATTTTCAAGCTTCCATATAAGATTAAAAATATCACATGTTGTAATTTGAGGAATGTCTTGCTTATTTGGTGGAAATTGAAAGTATTCATAAATAAGAATTTGTTTCTGCAATGGTCCAAGTTTGTAGTCAACAAAAGAAGCTTTTGAATCCAACTTACATATCTCTTGGTTGAGCTCATATAATGTACATATATTTCGGAAGTTTACAAATGACTGGATGAAAGCATTAATCTAAGAAATTGTTTATAAAAAAACAATGTAAGAATTATTTAAAAAAAAAATAACAAAAAAAATATAAAAAGTATATACAAATAAATTAAGAAAACACTATCTTAATAGTCAAAAATCTCACATCATTTATTCCTTTAAATTCACCTTATTCGTTTAACTTCAAATTTTTATCATTCCTAAGTTTTACAAAACATAACTTGTGACCAAATTATTAACTTTTGTTAAATATGATGTGCCTAGCTTAGTTTCTATAATAGTATTTGAGGTATGTAAAGAAGTAATACTTTGCATACGTTTCAAAATGCATACGTTTATTTAAAAAAAAAAAAAGAGAAATATAAAGAAATCTTTACTTATTTCCTTTGCAACAATAGATTATTAATCATAAATTTTAAATGCCTTATGAAACCATTTGTTTTTAAACTGACATGTAACACATAAAATTGTCAAGAGAGATTCTCGAGTGAAAGTAATGATCCAAGTAAAAATTTTACATTCAGGTTTATAAAAAGAAATGAGCTTAGATTAGAACAAAATTTAAGACAAATTACTGAACCACACTACAGTAGTCTAATAATAGTTTTAAAAATTATTGAAAATTACTCATTTTTGTTGAAATTATTGAAAAAATCATTTTTTAATATAAACTAATTTTTTTGTAAACTTTGTTTCGCTTAACCATCCCTATAAAAACAATATATAAAAACAAATGTTATTTATTTATATTTATTGTTTATAAAATGTAAAAAATCCACTTATATAACGTTTTATTAAGGATCGTATGTAGAATAAGTAAATTTTTCTAAATACACAGCAACCATTTTCTATAGCCACATGTGAATTATGTCTTAAAAACATACTTACCTTTATTTTTATAGTGAATTTCAATAAATTATAAATAAAGTATCAAAAAATAATGAAAATTATCAAAAAATAATATCTTGAAAAGAGATCAATTTTAAATGAATTAAATTGGAAAGATAGCTGATTATTTTCTATAGACGCAGTTCACATTTTTTAACTAAACTTCAAAAAAAATGTTTTTAGCACATTTTTAGTACTCGATTGCAGGCCTTGTGATGAATAAAAACTGTGCATAAGCACGACGTGATTTTTGACGTCATTAAATTCTTTTCATTTGCTTTTCATATTTATGGACATTAACTGTACCAATTTACTTAATTACCGCAAAACTACTTTAAATCATTAATGTAGAAATGTTATTATTTTAAAATGTTTTGGAATGTTTCGTTTTTTAAAAATATTTAGAAGCAATAATTTGCTGACCTCAATCTTTTAGAGGTCGGCACCAGGTCGGCAAATACAAAGGTCTTACCATAAAACATCCCTAATTCTGAGGGTTGATATATATATATATATATATATATATATATATATATATATATATATATATATATATATATATATATATATATATATATATATATATATATATATATATATATATATATATATATATATATATACATAACAAAACAAACATGTAACAAATACTTGTTGTCAAAAGGACAATAAAGGTAACTGGTTAAACTTTGAATACCTTTCCTTGTAACTTCATTATATTAAATATTGCAGGAATATCACCATCCTGTCTAAGCGGTCTGCTATCCAAGGGACACAAATCTTTTATACAAGAGACATTGTAAAAGAGACACAGTTCTTTTATTATATCAATGATTCTAACAGCATCACCTCTTCTGCATATTTTATTTTGAATCTGAGTGACTTTCTCATTTATTTCGTTTAGAGTTGGTCTTTCTTTGATTTTATTGTTTGTGTTTGAGTTAGGAAAGAAATACATTTTGTGGTGATTTCCAAACCTGTCGGGAATTCGCAAAACATCAACTGGCTGATCGTCAGAATATTGTAGCAATTTAATTTCTGATGGTATAAGATTTTCTTTCAAAACGTTATCAGGCAATTCGAGTTTCTCTAAAAGTTGAATTAACTCATCAAGCAGTTTTAAGTACAGTGGCTTTATATCAGAAGTAAGAGTCATCAAAACATTACAAGTTATATTATCTTCTGATAAAAGTATAAAATCAGAACAAAATCGTTGAAGGAAAAGTTCTGGATATTGAAAATGAGACTCAGTTTCAGAAATATAGTATCGCAACACATTCTTGCAAAAAAAATTTTCTCTATACATTTCTTTGAACCACAATTTAAATTGATGAACAAATAAAACATTTTTTTTAAGACTATACATCATTGCAACAATTCGCAGCTTGCAATATGCTACATGAACAAGTTGAAAACTGCGATATTGTTCAAATGAGTCAGCTATGTTATCGCTATCATACAAACATGCATTTTCTGCAACAACATCATTTTTTTTGTCATTAGCTGCTTCATCTTCATCTTCTTCATCAATTGGTATAGCAGTGTCTTTTGAGTTTCCCATGTTTGCTAAAGATTTTTTCAAATTTTTTTCAGCACATTTTGATGATGTATCAAGCATTGTTTTTAAAAATGATTCTGATGAATTATGCATATCCTGAGAATTCTGAGAACCAACGGAGGATTCTAAACTTATATAATCTTCATCGGTTATAACATTAAAATCAGTGTTATTACTTTTTATTGGATTTACAGGCTGAATTGGTGAAAAGCCTTTTAAATAAACTGTGTCTTTGTATATTTGAGCCTCTCTTCCTAAGATTTTTTTAGCACACTTTTTTAACCTTAACATTTTTTTTATTTTGTTGATCTTATGGTAAGATGTATTAAAAGGTTCTTTCCAACGTTCAATATAGTCATTGCTAAGTTTTCCGAACTGTATACTTACACCATTTTTTTTAATAAAATATAATAATCGAACTCGTAACTCTTCAACTGAAGACATTTTATTAGATATAAAAGCCTAAAAAAAAAATTAAATAAATAATATCTACTTTTATACAATAAACATTAATTACGCATTTATTACTTAAAAACAAAGGTTTCATTGCTGCACGTGTATATTATTTGAAGATTTAATCTGACTTAATAGTTGGTCAGGGTCAGGGTTGGCATTAAAAAACCCAGCCAAAATAACCCGCCGAATAAAAACCAATAAAACTCGCCTGAAAAAACCCAATAAAACCTGGGAAATTTCTGGGTTTTATTGGGTTTTTTTAAAGATATTTAATTAGTTTATGAACTATTATAACTAACTTTAACATTATAGCTATAATATTATTAACTAAAATAATTATTAACTATTATTGGAAATACATAATTATAATTTTTATAATTTCAAAATAAAAATAAAACCCAAAAAAAAAACCTAATTTACACAATAAAACCCAAAATTACCCAAAAAAAACCTACTGGGACAGGTTTTTCCAAATAACGTCTGGGTCAACTTAAAAAATAAATATAAGCTTAAGTTTGACTAACAGATCATCCAGGTCATATTTTAAAAATCCAGAAATTGTTTAGGTAAAATTTTCGAAAAAAATCGGTAATATACTTTCCCTTATTTTCTTCTTAATTTTGCTTTTAGCTAAATTGTTTTCAATTTTTTTCAAACTTTTCTCAATTTTACTATGAGTATTGAATAAAAAAACCTAAAAAACAAATGTATTACTAAATATATATCTAAACTTGAATATATGGAAAATGTTTAGATTTTCAGAAAAAGTAAGAGTTTAAAAAATTATTAGGAACTGAGGAAATATCCGGAAAAAGTAATCCCTGGACTAAATGTATTAAATTGATACCATCATCATTTATTAGAGAAAAAAAAAACAGGTTGGTTTGACGACTTCATTTACTTAACTAAGTTATTTAGTAGTACGCAACTCTGATAATTACAATAGTATATTTTAACAAATTTAACATTATAAACTAATTTAATAAAACTTTACACTCAACTCAATAAAAAGTCATTAATGCTGAAATTTTGATTTTTTTAAATCAAAAACAAATGTAATACATAATTTAATTTATATATATATATATATATTTTTTTTTTAAATCTTAGCTGTCATAGGCTATGATAACTAAAATAATAATTAATAACTGTTATATAATTGTTGTATAAATAATAATTGTTATATATAATTGAATTATATGGATTAAAAAGATTTTACTTTTTATATATAAAAAAAAGTTACTCATGAATTTATGATATTAAGTAAAGAAACTAGCTGCATATACTTTTATTATATTGTTGTACACATTAATATAGCATACACTGTATACTATAATGTGCATAACAATATACTGCAAAATACAGTCACTGTATTATACAGTATATTGCTGCAAGAGTGACTTACAATACCAGTGACACAGTTTTTTTTTTTTTTAAATTGATAAATATTTAGTATTTAAATTATCATATACATCTGAAATACACAGTATTTAACTGTGTTTCAAAAGTTTATAACCATTTATATACTTATGAACCAACCATTGTTTTAGAAGTTTATAAATTATTATATAGTTATGAAGCATAGTTTAACATCATTTAACTTAATAAGTATCATTGTTATTTAAAAAAATATACTCATTTTTAAACCTAAAGCAGAGTGTTATTAAATTCGAAAAAAGAGCCTATATTAGGCGAGTTATAGTTATGATGAATATGAGAGAAATAATGACACAGCGTTTCTTTGATTTATAAACTAAATGCAGTAAGTACGACAAAGATTTTATTATCAATGAGATTTAAAAAATCGGTTCCACAATTATAAAAATCAATCCAAAAGTAAAGTTAAATGTTTATGTTGATATGTATTTTTACACATATAACTGACACTGCAAAACATTTTTATTCCAAGCAATTCTAGAGAAAGCATGTCACGAAATTTGGCTGAATAAAACTAAAAAAAGCCGAGTTTTTAGAATTTTAGAGGCCCAATATTATTGGGTTCGATTTGGAACTTATTGGCAATAAGTTTCCAAATTAAAATAAAAGCCGTATGGTTAGGGATCGTCCATAAAGTACGTACGCTCGGAGGTGAAGACGAGTCTGCAAATGACGTATATGAGATGGGAGGGCAGTGGGTCAACTATAAAAGAAAGGAGAAAACTAAATTTAAAAAAATATCATAAAATGTTTTGCTATATATGGTACATATTACGTGGATTAGACAACTATAGTCTTCTTTTTGCTCCTGTAAACTTTTATTTATTTATTTTGTTATTGTAATTATTGTCAAACGACGAAAAAAAAAAATATATATATATATATTTTTTTTCAGTGATCAAATACAAATACAAAAATCCATTTATAATTTGATAAAGAGGTGTTACACCAGGCCCCTCTATGCTGACGAACATGGAGATACAGACGCTACAGACAATGCAGCAGTTGTATCTATAAAGTTACTTTCTTATGTTATTTTTGAATGCGTTGATGGATTGAGCGTTCATTGCTTCTTGCGAAAGCGCATTTCTTGGGGCGACAATTCTGTTTGAAAAAAAGTTATATCGCTCCTCACAGTTTTTTACCATCTGACGTTCTAGTTTATGGTTATGGCCTCTTAGAATATACTTATCTTTACTTTTTGAAAATTTTGGCGGGACGACAAAACTGACAAGCTCGAGTTTACGAATGATTTTGAATTGCTCGATAAGGTCTGCTTTTATAAGGTCTGCTTCATACAGAGTGCGCCATAAATAAAAACTGCGACTGCGAAATGTTTTTTTGAGTCGCCCTAGCATTCTATTTGCTACTGATGCGGCTGACTCTATTTGCGGTCTGATTTTAAGATCATTCGAGACCATCACACCAAGTTCTCTTTCGACTGCGGTTTTTTCGAGAGGACGACGGGTGCCGTCGACGTTAGACATTGAGTATTTGTACGTCAACTTGTTACATCCGCGCCCAACATGCATTACTTTGCATTTCTCAACGTTGAAATGCAAAAGCCAAATGTGTAACCATTCCACTGCTCTGTCAACGTCATCTTGAAGAGTTATGCTGTCCGACTCCTTTTTAATTATCCCTATTATTTTGCTGTCGTCGGCAAACAGTTTCATATGATGAGTAATTCTGTCTGGCAGGTCGTTTACAAAGATTACAAATAGCAATGGGCCCAAGACCGAGCCTTGAGGCACTCCGCTTGTGACTGCTTTCCATTCAGAAGTAATGCTGTTTATAACCACTCGTTGACATCGATTGTTTAGCCAAGCTTCAACCCAATCAACGAGATTGCCTTGAATACCGTACCCCAGTGGGCACACGACGGAAAAAAGACGTCTTATGTACGTCCAGTTCACGTCCGCTCGATTTATTCACAATATGAACTATAATAAGACGTCTTATGAACGTCTTTTTCTCGTCCGTTCCCAAAATAAAAAAATTTATCACTTTCAGTTTTGAAAAACCTTTTTATTATGTCTAATGACGCGAAATGTCATTATTAAAATTATTAAAAGATGTTTTAGTAATGGCGCCATTATTAAAAGGTGTTTTTATAATGGCGATTCTCGTATGAAGAGGTTCCAATTACTTTTTAGATAATTGTTAGATAACATATGTGTTTTATATTTATATATGTATATAGACAAATAAAATATACAAAGATTGTTTATATAGTTAAGAAAAACTATATATAACTTTATATGAAATATACTGTGTCGTGACATGTTTTTTTTTACTTTATGTCATTAAATTTTCTTTATTTTTATATATTTTATATTTTTTATGTCATATTAGATATATATAAAAATAATGAAGTTTAGATTGATTAACTAATTTTTTTATTATATTACTGTATGAGTATAAAATCCTATTTTACTTACTGTCATTTATATTTTAAGTATTATATTTTTTTTTTAAAACGTAATACTTAAAATATAAATGTCAGGAAATAAAATTATAAAATTAAGATTTTATACTCATACAGTAATAATATAATAAAAATCAGTCAATAAATCTAAATTTTCATTATTTTTATATATATGTAATTTTCTTTGAAGTTAACAGTCAATAACCTAATCCCTGTTACTATATTATAGATGCATGTAACTATATTATATGTCATAATATAATATATATGACAATATGATATACATTATATATATGAATCGATTCATATATAATATAGTAACATACATATATATAGGTACGCCGATATCCGCGTTTTACGGAACCGATAAATGTGCTAAAATTCTGTGCCACGCTTTTTGAAGTTCACATTTGGAGAGGTAGGTTGTGCAGTGTTTTGTTGCCTTGTTTTTTAGAATTTCATATTAACATAGATATTTTTTAAAAACTAGAATGATTATACTTTATTAATATGTGTCTTTTGATTACTATTACGTACTTTGTAAGTTGATTTATTGACATACAAAACTTTGTTGTACTTTGTGCATCCAGCAAATATTGAAGATATGGACAGCAATTAACTATCTTTTGCAGCCATTTAAGTTTACACATTTTTTATTTGTCTGCCAAATTTCGTTGAAAAAAAATGGGGCGCAGGCAGTCTATTTTGGGGCGCACTTTTGGTACCTATTTTCCTTAATCTGAAATCATTTGCGGGCAAAGGGGGGGGGGGGTGCAACACAATTAAAATTCTTTTAAGTTTAACAAAATAAAACTTTGTAAACTTTTTAATAATGTTATATATTACTTTTTTTTAGATAAAATGAGTGAAGATATTAATTAAAAATTATTCTCTTCACTCATCTTATCTACAAAAAATACTATTTGCATAAAAGATAACTAATAAACAAATTGAAAATGAAAATAAAAATATTTTATAATCATACAATGAAATTGTATGTGTATTGTAGTAAATGGTAGTATTTATGTGAAAAGCTATTTACAGGTACTATCTACACTAATTATAGACATTGTAATGTTTTTTTTTTTTTAAATAAACATTTATTTGAAAAATATTTTTGTTTTATGTTTGCTTCAATAGCTTTTTACAACAAAATTGATTAAATTTTTTTAATTTACTTACCTGTTTAGTAGTTTTTATAATACTTTTAATTGTTGTTGGTTTCAAAATACTAATACTAACGCAATAAAAGTGTAATTTTAATACAATTAATTTTTGCTTAATTTTCAAATAGTTTATTGGGCTACATGTTTACTTTTTGGTCATAACTATGTTGTATGTATATTGATATAACTTTTGGTTTAGTTACATATATTAATACCATAGTTACATATATTAATTTATTATATTTATTGATATTGTCAAAAATAAATATACAATTATTTTTTCTTTAGATTTTTTAAATATTAAACTAATATATCTCATGGTTATTACTTAATATGGAAATATTTTGACTTGCAAAATTCGTACCAGTTATTCTGAGTGGCAAACAGGTACTGTTATTGTAAAAGCTATCCATTAAAAATGAGAATGATAATATACTGCATGTTATTGTGTAATGTCCCAACAAGTAACATTCCATTTCTAGTAAGCAAAATTGGGCAATATTTCAGTGTTATTTTTTCTCACATTCCTTGTCGTAGCACTATTGAGCAAATGGCTCGTGAGCTTGGCAGTATTGCTGATCTGCAGGCAGCTGAATGGATCATTAGTAATACTCATCTTACTCTTGGGTTTGACGCAACTACACAAGAAGGTGTTCATATCAACAGTATTCACTTAACTTCAAATGATAAATGCCAGGTAATTGCTGTTGATCAATTACCAGGTGGGACAGCTGTGGATTATGCGAACCATATATGTAACGAAGTGGATCATACAGCTTTAGTATATTCAAACTTTCACTTGAAACCCTTTGAAGAATGTCGTCGTATGGTCATATCAAATATTTCAAACACAATGACGGACAGAGTATCTGTTAACCATCTTACAATAAGAAAAATTGGTGAAACTTGGGGTAAAAGTCTCAATGAATTAAACTGTCATTTGCACCCTCTTGACACAATTGCCACATCGTGTCGTTCAGCATTAAAGTCTCTAGAGCTTGATAGCTGCGAATTATATGGAAATGATTGTATAGCTGCAAAAATTGTTTTGGCTATGAATAAGATGAGGTTCAAAGATGGTAAAGGTGACCCAAAGGGATTTGTTAATTTTTTAGACAATAATAAACTACCACGAGGTATCATTCCAAGGTATCGTGGAAATCGCCTTCACATTCTGTTCCACACTTGTTTTATTTTTATAAAACATTATAACAAATTTTTACATTTTTTAACTATAGGAACAGTAAAAATAAAAACTTTACAAAGGGTTCTGCGAGTAGCATTTTGTAATACAACTGCTATAAAGCAAATGTGTCTTCTTGCTTTATTTGGAAAACTTCTTACAGGGCCGTGGATGACAATGTTTTATGTGTCATCTGAGAAAGCATATTTTGATCATGTTGGTGGTATCCAGATTGTTAAAAATGTTGTGCAAACAATTAAAGACTGCAAATGCGATCCAGCTGCAATATTTTGCAGAACAACAGATTTTTTTGGAAATGCTCTCAAAGCAAATGTGTTAGAACCATTAACAAAAATATGTAGAATTGATGACGAGCTCATTGCCATGATCTTGGCTTGCCTCAATGCAATAGAAGTGGTTTTAAATCGACAGTATAAGCGCTATTTTTCCATTACCATTACAGAAGCACTTGAAAAAGAAACAGCTAGTGCAAGGCTTCATAACATAGATAGTGAAGAGTTAATGGGAATGTTCAGTGCTGCAAAAGGAAGATCTCCTAATGCATCTATTGATTATATATCTTGCAAATTACGAACCAAAAAGAATGGGACAATGGATTATCTGGATAATCTTGATGACTTTTCTAGAAAAATGGTAGTTCAGTGGTCTATTCAGGCAGCACGTAAAAAACGAATAAAAACTCGACTACAACATACTGAAATTAGAGCTGAGATTTCTAAAAGACAGACTATAAAACGCCAAAAAATTGATGAAAAAGAAAAAAGAAAGTTAGAGCAACAATTAACATTATTAACTATTAGTGAAATTCTGAATTTGTTTAAAAACTTATCTACCAAGCAAATTGATGATTTAAATGATGTTATGTGTTAAAGAATTGTTGGGAGAAATCTTTGCCATGAATGGTATGATTCCAATACAGCAATGACAGTCTTGTATAATGGCAGAGTAGAAAAACTTAAAAAAGCTCAGAAAGATATTATATACACTATTTCTTATTGGACTAGAGAAGAAAATGATACTGAAGCAGTTGATTATTATATGAAAAAATTCCAGCTAGTTGCTGACATTGTATCCGGTGAGTTGATGTTTTCCTAATGTAAATATGTTGCATTTATTTTTTTTATAATTAAAAATGCATTTTATTATCTTACTACTTTATTTTACTATTTTTTGACTTTCTATCTCTCTCTCTATATATATATATATATTTATATATATAGAGAGAGATAGAAAGTCAAAAAATAGTAAAATAAAGTAGTAAGATATATATATATATATATATATATATATATATATATATATATATATATATATATATATATATATATATATATATATATATATATATATATATATCTATATATATATATATATATTTATATATATATATATATCAATAATATGCAAATGTACAGCGAGAAGTGGTACTTGCAAAAAAAAAATATAGCAAGTAGTGGAACTTGCAAAAAAATATATAGCGAGTAGTGGAACTTTCAAAAAAAAAATATAGCAAGTAGTGGAACTTGCAAAAAAAAAAAATATAGTAAGTAGTGGAACTTGCAAAAAAAAAATATAGCAAGTAGTGGAACTTGCAAAAAAATATATAGCAAGTAGTGGAACTTGCAAAAAAAAATATAGCGAGTAGTGGAACTTGCAAAAAAAAAAATATAGTAAGTAGTGGAACTTGCAAAAAAAAATTAAGCAAGTAGTGGAACTTGCAAAAAATTATATAGCGAGTAGTGGAACTTGCAAAAAAAATAGCGAGTAGTGGAACTTGCAAAATAATATATAGCAAGTAGTGGAACTTGCAAAAAAAAAAGTATAGCAAGTAGTGGAACTTTGCATAAAATATATATAGCGAGTAGTGGAACTTGCAATTTTTTTTGATAGACGGCTCTGGCTTACGTTCACGTCGTGTCTATTGTTAACAATGATTAATATATAGTTTCATTAATGGAATTTAATATCTTAATCATTAACTAAAAGCCAAGACGCAAACTAATTAGAATAATATTATAAAACATTTTTTGTTTTTGAAATTCTTTTTTAGGTCAGAGGGGGAACCATCTATAACTATCACAAAGCATTGTGTGATGTATTTTGAGTTTTGGTAAAAGATGTTTTTAAATTAAAGTGTTTATTTTCATTGCATTTAAATATTTTTTCGAATCTCATTAAAAATAGCTTCTTTTTTTTTAGGTTGTCAAAAAAAAAGGAAGAGGGGGGGCAACGACACGCCCCCTCGCCCATCTACACCCTTGAAACAAAGGGTGCGCTGCTAGTGATTTTGTATAGTAGTAAAATATAATTTTTGATTTGAATACTAGATTTCTTTTTAATTATAAAGATAAATATTTATATAGAGTCATTTTTGATAATAGGGTGTATTAAACTATCACCCTTACATCCACCCAAAGGCAATGATGAGTCTTCTATATTTGATTGTGATCTGATAGCTAATTACAAAAACATCTTGCATATAAAAATTTACATTTTCATTAAAAGAAAACACTTTTTTATAAATATAGTAAGTCTTTATTGCCGGTAAGGATGGTGGTTTTGTGCCCCCTCTTACCCCCGGATGCGCCCGTTATCTAGAAACTTTTATAAATTTGTAGATGACTCTTGTATCTATCTTTTGATACCAAGATATAAACATTTGGATAAGAATTGGTTAAGTTATAATAATTTTAGTTAATAAAAACTTTATTTTGACCACAGTTTCTTCAACAAATCCTAATATCAAAAAATCGGTACTTAAAACGTCATAACTTTTTGTAGGGTGGTTCAATTTTGAAAATTTTTTCACTTTTAGAATATTGACATTAAGCTCTTTTTAATGATATATAACAACCTATAATTTGATGAATTTAAAATTTTCATGTGACATACCTAATATATAATATATTAACAAGATATAACAGTAAAAAAAATTATATGTGTAGGGAAGGTAGGGGAGCATTGGGCACTTTTTTACATAAACGCTAATAAATCTGTTATTTTTTATCATAATCAAAATTTTATTGCAAATATATCTAGCACACATATTTGGCATTAATTATTGCTAAGAAGAGTTTTAGTTTTATAATTAGTTGCAAAGTTACAAAAGGTTTTCTAACACCTGTCCAAAGTGCCCAAACCTCCCCATGGTTGGAAGGTTTGGACACCCCTATGGGGAGGTTTGGGCACTGTATTTAATATAAACGATATTGTTTTACTATACTCATATGCTTAAGTGTTATATAGCATTGCTATAAAAAATTGTAACACAAACATTTTTTCATATCATAGACTTTACAAAAGATTAAACAATGTTACTTGGAATCAATACTCCACAATGTTTTTGACCCAAAGAGGCTTGTCAAATTTATATTTTAGGCTGCCACATTTTATCCATGTTGATGGTGTAGGCAATTTTGTCTTTATATCCTCCAGGGGGACACTGGCTACATCCTCGATGTCAGGAAACATAAACATATTTCTTACTCGCTCTCATGAATTTGACAGTTGCCATGGAGTGATTAACCTTTTCGACAATTCCAACATAATGATAAACAGTTTTTTTGGTGTCAAATTTAACCAACACAAAGTTATTAACCTGGAAATTTCTATCCAGAACAATCACATCGTCTACATCAAAATCTTCTTTTGATAAATCGATTTCAACAAAGGCTTCGTCAGAATCCGAAACATTTTTTATTTCATCATCACTACTAATCTTCCTGTTTTTCTCATTTTTAGAGCATTTTCGATTTTTGTTGAGCTCTTTGATCTTATTTTTTCTTTGTTTTTTTTTTTTTTCTTCAACTGCTATAAGTCTTTTCTCGGGTGTGTCTGTCAATATTCTAGTTTTTCCTTTCTTTCGTTTCATGCCACCCAATTTCCTGGGGCCGGCTTTCGGATATGGTCTTACTAAATCAGGTGTTACATTGGCAGTGCCACTAGTCTGGCTTTTAGATAAAGATTCAAGTTGAGATGGCTCAGTGACTTCCACATTTGAACTAGTACGATCTTCTAGTCTCAGATTTTCTTCTGTTGAAGGCTGTTCCATGATATGTTAGTCTGAAATCGATTTTTCTGTAGTAACATAATTCTCTCCCGGCAAGTAGCGATCAGTTATAGAAGAACAAACAAAATCTTCATCAGAGAAAATGTTTGAATTGAATGGCCAAATGCCAGATTTTTCAAATCCCGTTTGAATATTTTGCAACTTGAATGCAAGTGGCCTTTGCTAATTTTGGGATTTCATAAATTGTTACCGTTTTGCCAGGATTGTTCACCATCCAATCTGTTACAGCAGTGTTATAATAAGTTTTGAGTGGTCCATAGACAGTCAGGTCTAGGGGTTGCAGTTTATGGCTGCAGTGTGGTGGGAAAGTTATTAAAACAATGCCTGATTCTATACAAAAATTGAAAACTGGTACAGAAATATGGCTCTCGTGGTTGTCCAGCAGCAATAGAACTGGTGATGAAGGCGTTGGTTTTGCGTATTTTTTAAAATGGTGTATATATTTTAAAAAACTTGATGCTGTCATCCACCCTGAAGGATGTGCTGCTCCATCTGAACCAACAGGTGCATCATTTAACATAAATGTTTTGAAAATAACTTGTGGGAATATGAAAAAGGGTGGTATTGAGTTACCCAATGCATTAATGTCGCAGCAAACAGTTACAAGTGTCCCTCTTTCAGCTGACCTTACTTGTCCAACTTGCTTAGTGCCTATGAGAGCAATCACTTTCTGGGTTCGTTGTACTGTTGATAATCCAGTTTTGTCTATATTGTAAATAGACTCAGGGCCAAAACGATGTCGTTCATATACAGTTTTAAGATTTGCAAAAAAATCTCCAACATTTTTCTTATTGAAACTTGTGGCACGTGAGAGACTAGTAGCTTCTGGGGTCCTTATCGATATATCTGAGGTTGTCTTTTAAGAAATCCCCTTAGCCAATCTTTCGATGCAAGTTTCTTCTCTGTCCAGTTGTCTGGTATTTTTTTCATTAATGGCAGTGGCATATTCATATACTAATTCCCGTGCTTTCAGTTTTGACATTCCATGGTTAAGTTTAAACAATGTTACAAAATATTCTGAAATTTTTTCTTCTTCATCTTTTGTGAATATTAGGGATGATATATATTTACAAGAAGTATCTTTCACAGCGTCACCCTGTTTTATGTATCTTTGAAGGTTAGACCTGGGTATATCATATTTAATTGCAGTAGTTTTAATTTTTCCTCCTTTAGAAACCTCTTCCAATGCACGCAAAATAACATCTTTAGGGATTTCATGTCGTTTATTTTTCTTTTTAAATAAAAATGGCATTGTCCTGAAAAGAAATGATTAACCATTCAATCCAATAGTCATAGCAAAAAAACACAAACATATGACAAAAAAACACACTAAAAAAAGAGGGAGCATTGGGCATGCCCAAACCTCCCTCCTACATGCGTGCCCAATGCTCCCCATAACCTCACTTTTTAAACAGATTTGAATAAGTTTATTTTTATCAATTGTTGAATCCTAATTGTCAGGTAAGTATAATGTTCATTAAATACAAAAGAAGAAGTTAACACAGATACTAATTTCTTGCAGATTTCTTTGTTATCTTTCTTCAAATCATAAACAAAATATTTACTTTTGAACGCAACAAACTGTTAAGCGCATGTAACTTGACAACCAAGTGAAATGACAGCTGACACTTTTAATGGAAAGTGTTGCCAATTATAAAACTATAATGCTATAGTAAAAAACAAAAAATATCTAGAAAAGATGGTGAGAAATGAGGGGGTGCCCAAACCTCCCAACTGCCCAATGCTCCCCTACCTCCCCTACTACTAATAATAATCGAAAGTACTTTGAGTTACAGGAAAGTTCGAGTTATCTGAGGTTTGAGATATTGGGAGTTTACTGTATCCTTATGATTATTATTTTTACATTCCATCTACATAGAATTTTGAATTTTATGCTGAAAGTTGCACTTTTTTATATATATATATATATTTTTTAAATTTTAATTTATTATACTTTTGCAACATTTAATAAAAATACGTATGATAAAGCTTTATTAATATATCAATGATTTAACATTTAGTGCACAAAAAAATTAAATAATACACTTATTAATGTTAGAATATGATTGTTTTATATTTTAATGGTGAAAAAATCAAAAGTTTACATGATATTTTTAGTAGAAAATTTTATAAGGATTTCTTGAAAAAACAATGACAAAATTGATAGTTTTTCGTAACTTCAAATGTTATAACTTTTCCAATTCTTATCAAAATGTATGCAATTTGGTATAAAAACAAAGATATAAAAAATACAAAGCACCTACAACACCCAGTAATATGTTACGAATGTATATTTGTTAATGAAAGTTTCGTGTTTTTTATTGAAATTTTAATTGCAATTTTTTATATTCTAACAGACGATGATTAAATATAATAGATAAACAAGTAGAAAAGAATATAGTAATACATAATACTCTCCTTATATGTAATACTCTCCTTAAACGTAAATCAAATTGTTTAAACCGGATATGATGATTAAATGTTGTATCGGCATGGTTTTATCTGTCTACTTTGCTTTTTCAATTTGGTTGCCAGCTTCAACCTAATTCTTGATTTAGAACTATGATTTTGAACTAAAACATTTTCGTGTTGACTAAAATACTATTTATTCTTAACTTTTATTTTTTTTAGGCTTCAGTTATCAAATGTTGGTGGTAATTTTAGTTATGCCACTGTGAAAGCGTCGATTGTTAAGTATGCGTTTACTTTTTGTATTTTGTTTTGCTATGCAAATTTTTTTTTTTTTTTTTTTTTTTTTTATTTGCATTCACTCCCAACAAGGCTGCAAGCAACCACTATTAAGTTGGGAGTTACTAGGAAAAAAAAAGAACAGAGTTATAGAGCAAGGAAACGGTTGACAGAAGACTTAAAAAGTTGAAGGTTGTATGAGTCAGGAAAACATGAAGATGGGAGAGAGTTCCAAAGGATTGAAGTGCGGGGAAAAAAACTAGATGAATAAAAGTTTTTAGAGCATGCAGGGACAGATACAGAAAACGAATGAGACTTAGCTGAATGACAAGTAAAACGAGAATGAATTTTAATTGATGGAACTAGAGATGATAACTCCTTTGAGCAGTGACCATGATAGTATCTGTAGAAAAGAGAAAGAGATGCAGCTTTACGACGATGGGAAAGAGGTTTAAGCTTAGCAGATAGTCCAGGTCCAACAACATTTACAATGCGTTTTTGGACCTTGTCAAGAAGAGAGAGTGAATCGTTAGAAGAACCAGCCCAAAAATGACAACAGTATTCCATATAGTGACGAATAAGAGATTTGTAGAGGTAGAGAATGGAATCAGAAGTAAGGAAATGGCGAGCACAATAAAGAGAAGCAACCTTAGCAGAAGTTTATTTAGCAATCGATTGTATATATGGTTTCCATGAAAGGTCAGTAGTAAGCGATAATCCAAGAAGACGTAAAGAGGACGACTCAGTAAGAGGATTGCCATTCATTAATATAGGAATGTTGACCATATTACGGTAGTTGTTTGCAGTAAGCAATTGGGTTTTTTTAGAGTTGAAATTCACAAGCCACTGTGAACCCCAATCTATTACTGAAGTGAGATCAGATTCAAGATCAGCTGCTTGTTCTAGGCGATCGAAAAGAGAAGACTTTTTGTCAAGACAGGAGTATAAAGTTGAGTCATCAGCAAAAAGAGCTACTTTAGATGAAAGGTTGTCAGGAAGATTGTTTATGTAGATAAGAAACAAAACAGGGCCCAGGATGGAACCTTGGGGAACCCCAGAAGTTACTGGAAATAAAGAAGAGTGTTGGCCTTCAAGGATGACTTTAATAAACCGGTCAGAAAGAAATGATTTGATAATCTCAAAAACTTTCCCAGAAACACCATATGAAGCAAGCTTATGGAGAATATTTTCCCTTTCCACAAAGTTTGGCATGCTTTCCCAGCATGCCAAACTTTGTGGAAAGCTTTAGCTATGTCGAGAGCAATAGCCCTAGCCTCACCGCCTCCATCTAATGCACGATAAAATCTTTCAGTTACAGCAGTTAGCAAGTCGGCCGTAGAGCGAGAGGATCGAAAACCGTATTAATTGTCTGACAGCAGTTTATTTGACTCAAGATGAGATGTGAGGAATTTGTTGATTAAAGACTCAAAGACCTTGCTAATAACAGAAAGAAGACTGATCGGACGATAATTGGAGGGGTCAGAATTTTCTCCAGAGTTTTTGAATATTGGAACCACAGATGACATTTTCCAACAAGCAGGAAAACAAGACTCAGTCAAACATAGTTTAGAGAGAATTGAAGAAAGTTCTGGAGAACAATTCTGCAAGACTGTGACAGGAATGTTGTCTGGACCACAAGCTGTAGACAAGTTTAATTGAGATATGACTTTAGCAACTGAAGCCGGAGTGATTTGAAAAGTTCTTTGCAAACAGTTCTGCCTTATCCCTGGGAGAGGTAACAAGATCAATCCCATGAATGAGAGATGGAATGTTAGATCTACCCTTGTTAACAATGCTGTTGAAGATTTTCCAAAAGTTTTTAGAGCCTAACTTCTGCGATAAGATGCGAGATTTAGTGAACTGAGAATAATGGAGTTTAGCATCAGAAAGCACCTTTTTACATCGATTTCTTGCAATGATAAATAGCCGTTTGTTCTCAAGAGAGTTGTTCTTTTGAAAAAGATGAAAAAAATGGTTACGATTGGATATAGCAGCCGCACAAGAAGGAGAAAACCATGGAGTAGAATGAGGCTTGACTTAAAACCGACGAGAAGGAATAAAAGCTTCCATTCCAGCCTGAATCCAGGAGGTGGAATAATTTTTATTTATTGAAATAATTTTTCAATAATAATTACTTAAATATTAACTAATAAGTTTTGTTTTGTTAAATTATTTATTATGGTTATTGTGTATCTGTATACATTAGACTATAGAGTATATGTAAATGCATGTGCAATAGCATAGATTGTATTTTTTTATGTAGTCACATAAGACATTTTCAAGCACCATGTCCAATCTGCAAACTTAATTATTTTTATCCTTATGTCGAATGACAACGTTTTTCTCTTTCCCATCCTTGAATGTGAAGAAAATGAGTTCTGTAAATAACAGTATTTTATTTAATATTAAATTAAATTTCATCAACAGGTTTGTAACTTTATTAGTATTTTAGCTTTCAAATGTTTTGACCATATAAAGATTAGTTTCCCTCCTTAAATGAGGAGATTGCAAAATGTACATCATCATAACTTTTGAATGCTAATATGAACTCATTCCCCTCATATTCAGATATAGGAGAGCAAATTTTTTGGGTATTTTAGTTTTCAAGCACCTATGTATTATTTATAACAAATAATAGATTACAATTTATTTTTTTCATTGTCATTCCAGGTAGACATAAAAAGTTTGAAGTATGCACAAAGCCTGAAAGTGTCAAATATGGAACCTAAAAAAACCTGCCTTTGCCACTGACTGTATAAAGATTTTTTAAGGTAAGAGCTTAAATAAATTAACAGAAAAAAAAAAATTATAAGTTATACATTTTTATACTAAAATAGAATAAAAATATATATTTGTAGTTTCATTTTTTATTGTCACAAATATTAAATATTTGTGACACAGAATACAGATATTGATGTCTGTCTTCTTTAATATCATTTATGCTTTATCTACTGTTTTCTTTTTGTGCATGACCTAATTTCTTTTCATATCCATATTTTTTTAGGTCTGTTTGTCAAGCGTCAAGTCAGGTTATCTTGGTACTGGTACCATGTAGTACATCCTGCTTAAGCAGGTTGTACGCCATCCATACGACATTTGGGCATCTGTTTGTAAAATATTGCTGCAAATCTTTTTGAGAGAGCCATTACTATGGAGAACCATCTAAACCTATACAAGTGTGGAAACATGGATGTAAATCTATGTAAACGCATTTGTGATATATAATTGTAGAATGTTATATGTTATAAGTTTGGAAATTATATTCTGCTAAAAAAAACTTTTTAAATGTATTTTAGCAGAACATACCTGACCCGCATTTGATCCTGAAAAACTTTCTTTTTGGACCAAATACTGGCTGGGTAATTTGGACTTGTAAATGAACTTATATTCATAATTTTTAAACTGCTTATGATCTGATCTGATTTTATTTTTGTCATTTGTTTATTTAGATTAATGTGAAATAAACTGATGAGTTTATTTAACTTAGCTGGTAAAAAAAAAAAAGAGTTTTCGTGAAACAAATTTAATGAAGACAGTTATAGGTATACCTGTTAATGTAATATATTTTGTATTGTATTTTGTATGTTTAGTTTTGACGAAAAACAACTGTGAACTCTTATTTAATCAGTTGCAAAAGTTGACTTGGAAAATTTTGTATAAGATATTATAGCTTATTTATTAGACTGTGTTTTTAGAATGAAGTTCATTCATTTGCTGGCAACTTTTTTAAACGTGGTCCAGATCGAAAAAGTTTGGTGCCAGAAATAGTCGATAGTGGAAGTGATAGATGCATCGAACCTAATTTGTAATTAATTTCTGTAAATAATTTCTGTAAATAATTTCTGTAAATAAATTTCACTTTATTAATTTTTGTGTTAAATTCTTGTTTTTCTAATGGTATTTGAAATTAATAAGTCTAAAAATTAACGTTTAAAAAAATACGCACCAAATAAGACCTATTTATGGCATTCCATACCTAATGTTTTTCATTATTTCTAAACTGTAACTTAAACTAAACTCAATTTCTTAGTCCTATCGGGACGTCTTTTTTATGTTCCTCGTAAGACGTCTTTTTTACGTTCCTCTCAGGACGTTTTTTTCACGTTCTTTCTGGGACATCTTTAAAACGTTCCACGCAGGACGTCTTTTTGTATTTCCAAATCCAACCAATTTAAGACGTCCGATCGGGACGTCCTAAAGCCGTCTGCGTGCCCACTGGGACGCTTTCAGCTTATGAAGGAGGCGTTTATGTGGTACTTTGTCGAACGCCTTTGCAAAGTCTGTGTAAATGACGTCTACTGCGTGTCTGGAGTAAGTTGCTTCCGTCATGATGTCCCGAGTTTTTAAAAGGTTTGATACGCATCCTTTACGATGAACAAAGCCATGCTGGTTTGGAGAAATTAGTCCATTAGCAACGCAGTGTTCCATTATTCTTTTTTGTAAAATACTTTCCATAATTTTGCAAGGTATGGAAGTAAGCGAGACTGGCCGGTAGTTGGATGCTTTTAGCCGACTCCCCTTCTTGAAAATAGGTGTTACATTCAATTCTTTCCACAGGTCAGGAACTACACCAGTTGCAAACGAGCGTTTATAGATAAGCGAAAGAGGCTTGGCAAAGGTAGCTGAACATTTACTGAGGACCCGTGGATGTAAGCCATCCTAGCCGATTGATTTTCTTTCATTAAGGCTGTTTAGGCATTTTTGTACAATGTTGATAGAGAAAATTGATGGATTGATAACACAAACTGCTTCTGTACGACTTTCAAAACCTGGCATTGAACCTTCGGGCTTTAAAACAAAGACTGATTGAAAATAGTCATTTAATGATGCGCATATATCACCGGTATCGGATGTGATGTTGCTGTTGACTGTTTCAAGCGATGTAATGTTGTTACTGACGCTCTGCTTGCTTCTTATATATGCATGTAAGCGTTTAGGGTTGCTTTCGAAATCCCTGAGAAGTAGCTCTTCGTACTTCTGTCTACCAGTTTTGACCATTTTTTTAACTTTTTAACTAAGAGGTGCGTTTAGCTTTGACCGCCTCAATAAGTTCTGGTGTTACCCATTGCTCCTGTTTTCCTGTAAAGGGAGTGGCTTCATTGTACACGTTTACTAGAAGTATATATATATATATATATATATATATATATATATATATATATATACATATATATATATATATATATATAGTATATGTATAGATTTATATATATATATATATAATATATATATATATATTATATATAGATAATTTATATATATATATATATATATATATATATATATATATATATATATATATATTATATATATATATATATATATATATATATATATATATATATATTATATATATATATATATATATATATATATATTTGTATATATATATTTGTTTATATATATATATATGTATATATTTATTTTTAGTTTATATATATAATTATATATAAATTAGTAGAAAATCACTAAGTAAAATTTTTTCTCATTTAACACTTTGATGAAACACAATGTTAAATGAGAAAAAATTTTACTTAGTGATTTTCTACTAATTTATATATATTATATATATAATATACATTTATATTATATATATATATATATACAAATATATATACAATATATATATAATATATATATACATATATATAATACATATATATATATATATATATTCATATATATATATAATATATATATTATATATATATATATATATAGTATATATATATTATATATATATATATATATAAATATATATATATAGTATATATATATATATATATTATATTTAAATAATATATATATATATATATATATATATATTATATATATATATATATATATATATATATAAATATATATATATATATATATATATATATATATATATATATATATATGTTATAATATATATAGACTATATATATTATATTTATATATTATAATATTATATATATATAGATATTTAATATATTATATATTGATATATATATATAAATATATAAATAATATATATAATATATATAGAATATATAAATATTAAATATAATTTTTATATACATATATATATATATACAATATATATTACAAATATTATTATATATATATATATATATTATATATATATATTATATATATACATATATATATATATATATACATATATATATATATATATATATATATATATAATATATATATATATATATATATATATATATATATATATATATATATATATAATATATATATTATATTTTATATATTTATATATAGTATATATATATATATATATATTATATATATATATATATTTATATATATTCTATATATATATATATATATATTATCTATATATATATATATATATATATATATGTGATATATTATAATATATATGTATATATATATATATATCTATATATTTGTATATATATATTTGTATATATATATGTGTATATATAAACTATTTGTATATTATATATGTAATATATATATAAATTAGTAGAAAATCACTAAGTAAAATTTTTTCTCATTTAACACTGTGTTTCATCAAAGTGTTAAATGAGAAAAAATCTTACTTAGTGATTTTCTACTAATTTATATTATATTATATATATAATATACAATAATATATATAATACATATATATATATATATATATATATATACAAATGCATGAGTGTTTTTATTTGCTAAATATGGTACATATTACGGGAATTAGACAACTATAGTCTTCTTTTTGCTCCTGTCTTGTAAACTTAAACCCTGCCCGAGAAAAAAAACCCGGCTAATACTACTAGGAATCTCTTTAACTTCCTGCTAATCCTGCAAAGTTTCTGCTAATACGGCTAATCCTGGTAAGTTTACGGTAAGTTGAAATACGGCTAAACCTATTAAGTTTCCCATTAGTCAAATGACGTTTATGAATTTCCTGCTAATCCTAGTAAGTTCCTACTAAGTACTTATCAGGATTAAACGAATTACTTAGTAAGTTCCTAGTAAGTTTTCTGTTATACGCCATCTTTTATTTATTCACACGGAAGACAAGTCAGCTTTTTTTAGATTAAATAGTTTTACTAAATAATATTTGTAATTCTATAGGGAAAAAGCTCAAGAACATCTGGTGATGATTGTGTGCAGCCTGACTAAAAGTTCTAGTCATCAAGAACATCTGGGGATGATTGTGTGCAGCCTGACTAAAAGTTCTAGTCATCAAGAACATCTGGGGATGATTGTGTGCAGCCTGACTAAAAGTTCTAGTCATCAAGAACATCTGGGGATGATTGTGTGCAGCCTGACTAAAAGTTCTAGTCATCAAGAACATCTGGGGATGATTGTGTGCAGCCTGACTAAAAGTTTAAATCAGACTAAAGGTTTTACTCAGACTAAATGGGAGGTTTGTAAACCATTTGATATTAAAAACTGATCAATCTTGAAATCACTCTTTTATAAAATATATATAAACATTTTTTACTGGTAAATATATTTTTATTTTTATTGTTATCTCTTGTTAACAAGATTTAACATTTCTTTTTAACATGTTAAACAAATTATAAAATTATTGAATTTTGTTATATTTTATGTTATAATTTTTATTTACTTTACATTAAGATTTTTGTTATAAATGCCATAATATATATTAATTTAAAATTTCCATAATTAAATTTTAGGATATTTACATTAATTACTACTATGTATAGTTATATAATGCTAGTTACTAAAGTTTTTAGTAATATTTAATTGTGCATTTATTAGGCCGCTTAACTGCAGATTTACCTATAAATATAAATATCTATAGGTATATATTATATATATATATATATATATATATATATATATATATATATATATATATATATATATATATATATATATATATATAATATATATATATATATATATATATATATATAACACACACACACACACACATATATATATATTTATATTTATATTTATATTTAAATCTGCAGTTAAGCAGCCTAAAATAATTTTATGTTTTAACTTTACACGCTCTTGTTCGCGGAGATTTGAAAAATTTGTGTTATTATTAAACTTTTTTTTTTAAATGATTTTTAACCGTGATTTTAATTAAATTTTCATTCGTGTTAGATTTTTATTTGATTGTTCAAGTTTTATATTTTATAATTTTATCTAACAACATATTTTATTTTTTTAAACTATAATTGTCGCTGCTAAGTAGTGTATTAGAGTTTGGGCTAGCAGAGTATTATGGGTGACTTTTACTCTGGCGCAAAGGGTTTTTAGGTGCTAATTTTAAGTAAGAACCAGCCTTACTGTGGAACATATATCCAATCTAATGACAATAAATTTATTGGGGAAACCAATAACGAATTTCAATGCCATTCCTTTTCTTACATTTTAGACAAACCATAATCACAGGTTAGCAACTGAAACACAGGTAAGAAGAGGGCACAATAATGATGTTTCAGCAAATGAACAAGGTATATGTGCTCTACATTAATTAATTAATTAGGCATATACATAAGCGCAGTATGTTAAATTTGGAACTTATCAGTTTTATTGTGCAATAAATATTGTAAAAATAAATAAACAAGACAATGTTTTTACAATGCATTTACTGTTGTTTTTTTTTTAAATAATAGCGAGCCGTTTGTTCAAAATTTACCAGCCCATCTCTGTATATTACCAAAACTTCTTTTCAACACAAAATGTGATATTACTTTTAAAAAAAAGACAAATTTTTAAATTTTATTTTAAATCATTTTATTTATCAAGACATGTTTCAATTATATATAGT